AGATGGACAATACTCTGACCGTAGAGCCTTGGGAGGGCAGTGCACAATATCAGCCAACGATAGGCGAACAGCTGAGTGGAGAGTTGATTCAGAGAATGTGGTCAGCATCAGCCACATCAACATCTTCTACAGGACAGGGAACTATCCCAGTGAGGAAAACTAAATTCATTTATTTATTTAGGGGGTAGTTCTCCAGGATGATGATTCATGTAAACCTTTCTTAGCAATATCCTTGACCCTGAATAACACAGCCCCTTATCCTTTTCAAGATTGGTTTGTGTCCTGGTGCCTATGTGATTTCTTTCCTGAATTACAACTCTTTATTGTATTTCTAGGTCCCGGCCTTTACTATGGTCGCTTTGCTGGATTTTTTGTGTATATTTCTAATACCACAAGAAGGCAGGACGGCCATCTTTGTTTCCATGAGTTACAACAAGTGGACAGAACACCGACAGAGAACCAGACAATAAACTGTCCTGTACATGGACGTTACGTCATATACTACAACGAGAGGAATCCGAATGTGACATATCCAAGTTTCTATTCTACATTTGCATACAATGAACTATGTGAATTGGAAGTTTATGGTATGCTACTAATATTATCAAATGTTTTTCAATAGTTTTAAAACACTAATAACTTGAAGTATTTGACTACTTTTTCAAAAGTATAAAAAAAATCTATCGACAAATAAAGTTGTCCTAATGTTATAAATAAGGGTGCTTAAACAATGGGGTGTATGGAGAGGATTGTAACCAAACATGTCCTGACAAATGTCAAGAGCAGAGGTGTAACATCACCACCGGCCATTGTCTGGGCTGTGTACCGGGCTATCAAGGAACTCGCTGCAGTCAAGGTACGTTTTTGTGGTATGTTTATTTTTGGTTTTGAAAATTCTTGTTTACTCTACTCCAATTTAATATAATTGTTTAATGACCTTTTGAGCTTGAATACCGTTCGTTATCCACTCAAATTTCATTTCAAGGCAAATGTTAAAGATTCACCACGCCTCAACTTTAATTAAACTCAATATTTTATGATAGAGAAAATTAAAGATTTCTTCAAAGTTTTTTTTAATTTGTACGTAAAAAACGTTAAGGAAACAATGTGTTCTCCTTAATTAGATAAAGGATGTTTTTCTTTCTTTATGTTTTCTGAATTCATGCACCATGTGTTTATTTACATGAATACATTAGTACCAAACAAAAGTGCATATCTTAAAAAAAACATTTTTGAAGTAAATATGTTTATATGAAATCATACTCCAATGGTACTTTCCTTATATTTATAGCCTGTAATCAGTATAGTTATGGGCTTGGCTGCGTTTTATTATGTGGTAACTGCAGTGATGGCGACCCCTGTCACCACGTGACCGGGGAATGTATAAGTGGATGTAGTGAGGGGGTGACAGGGGAGAAATGTCAGACTGGTATAACTCTACCTTTATATTGAAAAAAATATAACACGCAAATATACAATGTATAATTAGGTTTACAAACAAAAGAAATTTAAACTGAAAAGAAAATCTTCTCAAGCAGATGATTAAATGATTCAAGTTCTTGAAAGAGCTTAGCAAGTACCAAAAATTATACCTTTTCAAAAATCGTGCTTTGTGTATCAATGTTTCTTTACAGTGTCTATCATATGAAATTTTACACTATTAAAAAACATACGTATCAAATAATTGTTTAGATACCAGAAATGTATAATATTTCAATCGAAATTTTAATAAATAAATCAGTCAGAAGATATACTACTAGCCGAGGATTTCACTTCATGAACTATTTTAGACTAAAAATCTGATTATGTGTTAACAGATTTAATATGCTTATAAATTACCTCTTCATTCTGCACAGAATGTTCTGTGGGGTTTTATGGAAAGAATTGCGGTCAGAGATGCAGTGAGAATTGCTTTGTTACAAACAGATGTGACCTGTTTACAGGGGAGTGTATGGGGAAATGTAAGCCAGGTTGGGAGACACCCAGATGTACACAGAGTAAGTCAAGGGATATTGAAGGGATAAATACCTTGATAAATATATTCCTGGCCCAAAGACCTAATCTAAAATCGATATAACTCTAAAAAAATGTTGATAAGAAAATACAATTGTCATAACGTGTTTGAAAATATGTGTTATACTCAATTTTTAAGTTAAAACGGCTAATGAAAATTAAAATACATGTATTGAAATTTATAATTTGGACTTACATGTAAGTATGTCAATTTATGCTTTTCGGGCCTGATGTATGTTAAGTAAAGGAGAACTCGTTGCTGAAGACATTTTTCATATGTTTTCTCTGATATCAAGTGTATTGCCTGAAAAGTATGTGTTTAATACTTAGTATTGTCCATTGCAATACTTTCGTACTAAAAACCATTTACTAATTTGAACAGTTTAACCCCTTACATGGCATATACGCATTTCTACGCATCTGACTTGAAAAATGAGTATAGTGTAAAAAAAAAACAGTCATAAATTCATCAATACTGCAAATATCAGAATAAATCTTGCACTTTTGGAAAGAGAAAATAATTACAATTAAATATTTTACGGAAATTGTTTTTATTGGTTGTACCAGTTTTTTGCTAGTTTGAGTTAAACTTTGCACATTACTTGAGCGATTTTGCCATTTTCAAATCTATGCAGGGGTAACACGTTTTATGTTAAAATGCTAAATTCTGGTGATTACCTCCCAAACCCTACCCATCGCCTCAAGATACTTAAAATTGGTTTGTAAAAGATTTACATTTTACTTATAATTTTCCACACAACAATAAATTATTTTTGATATTTTTAACTTAGCAAAAAATAATAAATAGAATTAAACTGAAAAAAAAGAATGAAACTTATTCTTGAATAAATGAATATTCCAGCATGATTATGGTGTATTTCGTTGCCATGGCAACTGAACTTATATTTTTTTAATCATTTTCAGAAACTACACAATACCTGCCTTCAGAATATATATACATTGGTATATACAAAAATTACAAGAAATACTAAATAATGCATTGAGATCTAAATATCAATTTGTCTAGAAATGCTTAAAATCTTTGCCATGGACGGGATTAATTGTTTACATGGTCAAAAATGTCCAAACCTTAAAATTTTATCATTTTTTACTTGTCTTAAAAGAAAGAAAGAAAATTCTTTAAAAGTTTAAATATTCTGTACCAATAAAAAAGGTTTCCTTTTTCTAATTTAGGCTAGCAAATTTGAAAAATGTAGATGGCCGGAAAAATAACAGAAAACCTGCTTTTTTTTCGCGCTCAAGGTAAAAATTAATGGGTCGGTAGGTAGGCGGGAAATTTTCCACACTGATAATTTTAACATATTCGTTTAGGGATAAGAGGGAAAAAGGAAAAAAAAGTTGTAGTGTTCTGAAATTCAAAAAAAATTGACTCGGCTATTTCAAGCCAGTATGACGGGAGATGACAACCAAACTTATTTTCTGAATATGACAATACCGTCCATAAATACTGTTCTTTCCCATTAATTAAACTTTTTATTTTTTCAATTTCCCTGCTATCATTATATAATGATATAATGCCTGCTGATGATTTATAAGAATGTGAGGGAGGTATGTATGGCGATGACTGCCATCAGATCTGTGGACACTGTCTCAATGGATCATATTGTCACCACGTGAATGGAACTTGTGAAAAGGGGTGTTCTCCTGGATTTCATGGGGCGACATGTTCGACAGGTACCTTTTTCTGCCTTAGTGTAAGTAAGAATTTACAGGAAAATAAAAAACAAATTAGAAACAATACTTTTAGAAAAGAGTATAAAGAAATATTTGTGTGGAGGTGCAATTTTTTTTATTTTTTGTAAAATAAAAGTGTACTTTTCATTAAAATGAATACACGCAACACAAAAAAATGACCTGATGCTGAATAGAAATGATATCTTATGATTTTTCTAGATTGCTAGAAATGTAGGATTTAAAAAAAGAATAACATTAATGAGTATTATACCCTTAAAACTTCATTTTCTTGTTATTTTGATTTTATCATAATTATATCAATCTTTTTAGGTCACCTGAGTAAACTCAGGTGACCTATTGCTATCTGTTTTCGTCCGTCGCCGTGCGTTGTGCGTCGTGCGTTAACATTTGAACATTTTCAGCTACTTCTATGCAACCAATGAACCAATTCCAACCAAATTTGGAAAAAAGCATCTATGGGTAAAGGGGAACAAAAACTGTGAATTTCATGATCCCTGCCCCTCTGGAGCCTGAGGGGTGGGACCAAAACCACTAAAATTAATGCAATCTTTAAAAATCTTCTTTACTTCTGGACATCAAGCAGTCAAACTGTTGGCATGATTGTAATCAGCATTGAAAAGCAAGAATGCCTTTTCAAAAAATATTCAATGTGTGGATCTAGGCCTAAGGGGTTCATGTGTGGTAGGGGTACTACTGATTATTGCTGAATATTACTGATTAGTTGAAATGCATTTTTGTTCTCCTACCCTGCTTATAGGTATTAAGTAACCAAACTAAGCAACTGCTAAGTGTATAGTTATGATGATCAATTGTGCCTCTTTCAAAATTGTGAATGCCATAGCATCTGGTCATAGGACATGAATCAATTTCAATCACTGGAAAGTTGTTGCATAATGCTCAAGTGACTTTTAAGGCCCATGGGCCTCTTGTTTGTTTACCAGAGTGCTCTCCAGGATACTTTGGAATAAACTGCAAGGAAAACTGTAAGGCTTATTGTGGTGGAAACAAAACATGTGACGTCATAACCGGTGTTTGTGATGAGGGCTGTATAGAGGGGTTACAAGGATCTCTTTGTAATGAAGGTGTTACATATTGTTTTGCACAAGTATATGGAATTTGAGATTTTTTTTCCAATGCTTGTCATCATAACGTTATGCATCAGAACTTTAAAAATGCACTTCAATTAAATATACATCCAATGATTAAAAAAAAGCTTCAAATTACAGGATCTGTACTTAGCAGAACTGCCTGTGACACCTGTGAAACCAACACTACTAGTATCATTATAAGCATTGTGATTTCTTTATTCCTTGTTCTGACCGGAAGTATTCTTAACTTTATCATATGGAAGAGGAAAAATGGTACGTATATGTAAATAAAATGCTGGAATCAACGCTTTTTTGGGAAAAAAAACTCTCAGTTCTTGATCCTGATTATCAGTAAAGTCAATTCAGTATCCCCAGTAATACATGTACTAACAAAGGTTATTTTAAAGGTGCATAGACACAGATTTGAAGTTAATATTTAAATACTAATAATTGTAATGATATCACAAAATATATCTCGTAATATTATACAAAAAATTTGAGAAAATATGAACTTCAAATTTGTGTCTATTCGCCTTTAAGAATAAATAGAGTTTGAAAGAGCCTGATTGTGCACAATGTTTGCATGTACTACTGTCATATGTTTTTAAGTAGGTAATTCGAAAACTCATTTTGCAGCTTATCAAATTATATGAAACAACGACAACACAAAGCATTATTTTTAAAATACATTTAAAGAAACCAAATAAAAAATATCTATATTGATATTTATATTTTCGATCTATTACATAGACATTTTTTAACTTAAAACCATATAAAATGCTATTTTTATATTTAGCTGAAACTGAAAAGGTAGGTTTTAATCTGATATAATATAAACAATAAAGAAATCGAATATTATTTGATTACCCATGTTTATTTATTTTTAAAATTTATTTCATAAGATAGATTGTCTTTATTTCTCCTTAAAGCAAAACACATCAAAGATCAAGATGAAGAACGTGGTTGCTCCTGGAAGTACAGGTCTGATAAAATGTTTCTGGAGCCAAAATCTCAAAATGTCATTTATGCATTAATTTTTCAAACCAGTAAATTAATATTTCATGAATGGATGTAATGATTAAACACCTTTACTTTTTATAAGTTTTTAAAAAAATACTTTTCAAGTATTTCCCCAGCAATGAGTTATATGTCATTCTACACAAGGATAAATAACAACAGAGGTTTTAAAATTCAATTGCTTTTATATTTTCCAGGAAAATCAACAACTGGTGAAGGGTATTTATTTTTTTTCAATTTTCTTTCAAACTTGATGTGTACTGTGAAATCACAATTTTTGTGTGGATTAAATTTTAGTTGTTTTCGAGGTATAAAGAGACCCATAAATTCATGTCCACCTTGAAATATAAAATGCATCATACATAACCACTAAACAATTATTTATCCACAAATTTCAATCCCCACAAACCAAGAGTTTTTACTCAAACCCGGAAAATTTGACCCCACGAAAACATGTGATTTTACAGTACCTTTTATAATTTCAATCGACAACCTTATCAATATTCCTAAAACTCTCTTCATATATCTGATATCTTTATCAATATTCTTAAAATTCGCTTCATATTTTTCATACTAGAGACGGATCCGATTATACAGACCTAGGAGTTCTAGATAAAGCAAACACATACGAAGAACTTTCTCATTATACCGAGGCTGTTGATAAAATACAAGACGATTTTCTGAAGTAGGGGGGCCGATGTTGGAATTACAAAGTGATATGAACAGCATGAACAACACACTCCTATGTTTTGCAACATACTGCAGCCATGCATGCATATTTGAGTTTGTTTATTACGTATTTTTAAAATGTTGATCTTATCTTGAGGTTTAAAATTCAAAACAGTACTTCAGCATAGACAACTATAAAGTATACTTGATATAATGAACCGCAAAATTTCCCTATCAGAAGCATATTTGTAATTGACCCCCCCAAATAATGTTTTTTTTCAAATAACAATGGATCTTAACTTATTATGTGTTATACGGCGGATGTGAACGGTCGCTAAGGTAAGATCACTCCGGTCCTCACTAGCGCCTGAAAATCCATTCATCATATGTTTAAGAGGTCCTTACATGTACTAGAGGTCCCAATTTGCTCTGCTCCTGATTTCTGTTGATTGATTGTACACACAAGTACTCTGAAGTTGACATCAAAAAGAAGCTTGTGTTTCTGATTCACAATATTTATGTTATTTTTGGAGACCAGATATTCCAACAATATATTGGAGTTCCCATGTGTACCAATTACTCCCTGTAATAAGCAGAAATATTTTTGTATTCATATGAAGCAGAATATATTCAAAATATTATATGTGTTACGAAAACACTTGCTGTGGCCTTCAATTTGTCGTATTGTCAAATAACAATAGATATTTCCATACTTACGTCGATTTGATACATCCTGGTGAGATTGAGATAAAAGATACAACAGAGTTTGACAAATCCGTTTCATACTTAGATATCTTGCTTAAAAAGACGTTAATATTAACCTAAAATCCAAGCTCTTTAATAAAAGTGATGACAGAAACATCATTCATCAATGTATATATCCTAAGCAGCAATATACCTTGATCACCTGCTTATGGAGTTTATATCTCTCAGTTGATTGATACGCAAAGGTATTCTCTATCTCTGTGCTATTTTAAAAAGGAGGTAAGTTATTGACAAACAAACATATTGATGAAACAAGAATATAATCAGTCTCCTTTGAAATTATCATTTTAGGTTCTATAGTCCATTCAATGACCTTGTTAGCAGATACAATTTATCATGAGGTAGAATGCTGACTGACGTTTTTCATAAGAATTGTTATTCAATTATTTTCACACCTTGTTGACGACGATTTTTATCCTTATTTCCCGATCACGACAAGGAGCACACGGCGGGTGTGAGTAGTCTGCAGGGATCACCGAATATGGAATAATGAATGATCCATACAGCTGATTTTGGGTATTTTCCGTAACAACGGGACCAAACTGAAAATATAATCTACAATGAGTGACTTAAACGAGACATTCAATAACATAATGCTCATTAATAATATTAATTGGGAACAAAATGTGCCCTTATGTGTGGGTGTAAGAATACTGGATACTTTTCTTATATATACTTAACGTTTTTTACGATGATCAAGATAAGGAGGTTGTACAAAAATTAAACAGGAAGTATTTCGTAAGTTTTATGATCGATACAATGACCTTTTCAGCAAATACAACTTATTATTGAGTCAAATGCTGACTGAGGTTTTTCATACTTACTGTTAGTCCATTATTTATACACTGAATTGAAGACGGATTTTCCCGTTATTTCCCGATGATGACAAGGAGCACACTACGGATGTGACCGGTCAGCAGGGGACGCTCACTCCTCCATGGCACCGGATCCCACCTCCGATGTTTTGGAGGTCCTTACTTGCTCTGATCCTATTTTCTATTGTATTATGGACTTTTGATTTTGAATACTGTTCGTTATCTTCATGTGTTTCATCTATTAAACATTTTTTTTTAAAAAGAGAATCATATTTAAGGACGATACGTTCCTTAATAATATATAATTTTTTGCAAGATTTTGTCATTGAAGTATTGCTTCTTTTTCAAGTTAACTCGCAAAAAGGGACGTACCTTACCAGGCATTTGTATAAGATACCAAATGATGGTTTTGCCTGTATAATCCTTTTCGGAAAAATATTAAGTTGCCAAAGTAAAAAAAAAAAGAAGCCGTAAATTTTTAAAAGACAATTAGAAACAAGTTTAGAAACTCGAGGTAATTATATTATTTGCAAGCATGGGTTACACATACGTGGTACATGTATAATTAGCTGTGTAGATGTTTAAATTTAATCCTTTATTTCAATCTTTTTATATAATAAAATACAGCCTATTTAGAAAACTTTATATGCTCTTTGTATTAATACACACCAAAAGATTTTTCATTGATGTTTAGGTACATGTAGAGTTAAACAATACAAGGTTTTATTGAGCCATCACCAGCCAGTATTATTTATTTAATTCAACTTAGAGAAAAGCTCATTCAAATTTTTTTTTCATCTGAGTTTTCCCTCTTTCTTTCAACGACCATTCGCCTACTAACATCTTATTTTGAGAAAATACAGGCTAATGACAAAGAAGATGAAAACAGAAGGTATAATTGTTGCAACAACATTCTAAAGCGTTGATCAACTAATGTCTTTTATACTGTATTGATGACGGCTGAAAATGTTTCAAAGTAAATTTACTTTTTCTGTTCATCAAACATATCGAGTAGAAGTTCGGAACTTCGAGCTTTCCGTCTTTCAGTAAAGTTTTTTATTTCACGGGTTGTGAAATATAAAGGTAGCAGTGCAGTTGGTATTCAATCTCAAATAAACAACAATTACAATGCGGACCTATAGCTAAGATAAAGTTACACGGAGAAGTAGGCATCCCTTGTCAACCAGTTACACCCATTGGTCCCTGTAATGATGAATTCCGTTGAGAACCTATCGTTTAGTTACAAGTGTATGGAACGCCGTCACTGCCTTATAGCAGAACACTACAATTGCATTGTGTCAACTTTCCATTACATTATGTCAACTCTTTATGACATTTACACACACTACTACTGCGTTATGTCAACTGTCCATTACATTATGTTAAGTCTTTATGGCATTAACTCGCACTTCAATTACATTGCGCCAATCTTCCTTTGCATTATATCAGCTCTTTATGACATTATGTCGAAACAATTTTACGTGTTTTTATATAATTTCAACTCATTATTACATTATGTGCACTCTCTATTATTTCGTCTAAGTAGTTCATTACATGATGTGAATTTATCTTTAATTCAATATCAAGTCGCTATAACACGATGTCAGAATTTCATTACATGATGTGGAAAAAAATGTCACATGTGGCCAATTCTTTACTATATTGTGTCATCAATATGCTACATGACGACGGGAATCTATTACATGGTGTCAATTTTCCCTTTCTTTTTGACAAGTCATTATTATGTTATGCCATTGTATCTTTACATTGTGTCTAAAATGCTTAGCCTCTTGTCAGCATATCTTAGAATATTTCAGCTCTTTATTGTGTGACGTAAGGTTTTGGTTATAATTATCGCAAATAATAGTATGTGTCATGCAGCAATATTTTTCTTTTTATTTTGAATTATTTTGAAAAGTCCGAAACTTCTGATCTTACTACAAAACACTGTCCTAAGTTTTTTATCAGTCTTTAACCCTCCTTTAAAAAAAAAGTGTCTACTAAACACATTGTATTTCATACGTGCACTGGTTGGTTGGTGGGAAGAGGGGGAATACCACCCTCCCATCTTTAGTGACCAAAATATGCATGAAATTAATCAATTAATTTTACTTTGTAGGATATTGCATCAGTTTTACACAAAAGTATAACTGATAAAAGTTGAAACGTTTTATAAAAAAATCTAAAGCCTGAAAGCTTCCGGGCTTTCACCCCCTGGTCCCCAACTTAGACACCATATCGTCCCCCGATACTACTCTTTTCAAGAACCCAAGATCGCTACTGATATGAACCCATGTTTACTAAGGCATGGTCAATTGATTTAAGTGAGGGACTGGTAGATTTTTGTAACAAAATTCTGGTCCTGTAATAGTTGAAAAATGACTAATTCCAGTGACGTTGCATCGTTTTTGAAAGTTGGGGGAGGTTTGTCAGCCAGAAAAAAATAACGTACAAGAAAAAGCAAAAAAAAAAAAAAAAAAAAAAAAAAAAAAAGAAAAAATTAAACAAAAAAGAAAAAACAATTTCGGGTGAAGAGGAGGGGGGGGGGGGGGTCCAACTTCGATCAGTCCTAAAAAAAAAATTCCAAATATACTACATTACCCTTACACTTCAGCAAAAAGTGGGGCTGAATTTCAATGAACATTTTCTATGAGAAAATTATGTTGGAAAAAAGAGGAAGTCAGACCGGTGCCCCCCCCTCATATAATGTGTCTGTAATTCGTCCTAATTAATCAGGACCCCTCCTTCCTAGTCGTGAAAACACGGTTATCAACTTTGACATAATGTAAATGTATTTTACAGCACGTAATGAACATTTGTAATCAACATGATAAAGAATTAACACAATGTAAAGATAGTTTTAAATCACATAAGAAAGAGTTAACATATTCTTATTAAATATCCACATAAAAGAATGGAGTTTTGACATAATGTAATAAAGTGTTGATATAATATGGAACGCCGAGACTGTCTCCATAATATATGTTCACATTATGTTATAAACCCTTTTACATCACGTAATAAAGCATTGACATAAAGGTAAGATGTATTCACCTCACATTGTGATGACCTGGGCGTAAAATAAAAATACATTAACATCACGTAATAATGCTTTGTTATAATAGAAATATACACTCACAAAAGGGAATGGACTTTGACTTAATGTAATGATAAATTTAATCATAGAATCGATCGTAATGCAATTTTGACCTCACATATTAAAGAAAGGAAATAATATAAAGAAACATTCATTTCACGTAATAAAGTTTTAACACAATGTAAACATATTTTAACTTCATATAATGAACTTTGGTCTTCAAGTTATAAAGTGCCGACATAATGGAAGAATGTGTTTACTTCATGTAATGCAGCATTGACATGATGTAAAGATATTCTTACATTACCCCATAAAAAATTGACATATCGTAAAGATATGTTCACATCACGTAATGATAGATTGACATAATGAATGCATAGTTTTATGCTATAAGGCAGTGATGGCGTTCCATACAAGTGCTTTATAATTTTACTTTACTTATACATGTAAATAAACCAACTAGGAAGTTGTAAGACGACGTAGTATTTAAAACGCTTAGTTTTATTGGAATGACAATGAACCTATAAACTTGTTCTTTTTCATGATAAGGACACTGCCGAAAAATGTATGATGTATGCATGATAAGGTAAGTTTTATTTAAATCACACCAATTTAAGATTTTTTTATTAATTAAATGGAAGGAATCCACCTCCCATTCAAATATCCGGTAAAACAATATTTGTTTTGTCGAGATTGATGACTACCTCTCTCGTTTAATAAACCTACGGTGGATTGTCGGTCTATTCTAGTACATTTCCTATCAATGTTACATATAAATAATGTTTCTGTTTAAGTTGGTCTTATCTACACAGGAAAAATGTCCACATGTGTTAAACATATGTTTGGTTTCACATGTGTTCAACACATGTTTTATGCATGTAATACATGTGTGTAAATAAACACATGTAAAATATGTGTTTCATTTATATGTAAAACATATATAATATACACATGTTATACACCTGTGAGATAATATATATGTTAAACACATGTTTTTCACCACACATGTATAACACGTATTATATATATGTAATATATGTGTGCAAAAATACAGATGAAATATACATGTTTAATTTACATAAAATATATGTGTATTCATAAACACATGTTATACACATGTTAAGTTTTATCTCATATGTGTGTGTATATTAATTCAAAAGAATTTGTAAATGTTAGTAAAATTTTACTCATGAGTCATGTCAAGTTTTACTTTGTTTACCCCCCCCCCCCTTTCCCTTCTAAAAAAAACTTTCACAATTTATTTTCTGTAATAATGCATTTATCAGACAAAATTGATAAAGAATGAATTCATTTTCTTTTCATTTTAAATCTTTTGGGCTTGGATTACTTCTTGAGTAAAATTAGAATAATTCCGTAATTGTCTCCGGGCCGGTTTTGTCTTTTATCGGATGAAAATGTACGTCATTTTTGACGTCACTGCTGCAGCAGACGTGGAAAGGTAAGTGATCTCCAAACAATTTTAAAAAGACTTTTAAGTCATATTGTTTAAATATCATTTCATTATAGTTACAGGTGCGTATGAACTTTCTATATGCATGTAATACTCTTATCATTGTGACTTGTCATGCATTTCGTAAACCTAACGATAGTGATCTGTAAGTAATTTTGGTGAAAAATGTTTCTTACTGAATGTAAGCACGGGCACTAGAAGTTAATGTAAATATATAGTATGTTTATGTATAAAAAAGACCCTTCTTTTTATATACATACACATACTATACTATTTATATTAACTTCCAGTGCCCGTGAATGTAAGCGGTTACATGTTAGGCTAAAGGCATTACTATTTTTTATAATTTGTATACAGGTAAGTAATTTTGGATAAATTTGTTTCTGAATGAACGTAAACATTACATGTTAGGCTATTTTTTAAAGGCATTATTGGTTTTCCTTTTGTGACTGATATGAAAGTGAAAGTGGAAACCTTGAAACCATTGTGACTGTCAGTTGGTGTTTATGTATGCTGAGATGGCTGTCAAGTCGATTCTTTCATCAACTTAATGACAAATGTTTGTTTTTATGGCCTAGAGATGCATGCAGTAACTTGAGTTCAGTGTCACATTGCTGCGTCTAAAAAGCCCAAAGCTGATAAGACTAGCGATTGATCCTAAAGCTGATTTGACAGAAGATTGC